GTGGGGGGGCAGCTCAGCCCACCAGGGGGCGGGGCTGGCTGGCATGTGGTGCTGGGGGATTGAACCGCGGTCCCTGTGCTTTGCTAAGCTTGTTCCAAGTAGGTGCTTTAGACCACTGAGCCATCTCACCAGCCCCCTATTGTGCCATTTTTATGTCATCTGATCACTCAGATCTAATGATTTGAAAGTCTCTAACCCTTTGATTACAGAAAGCAAGTTAGATATCTCTACAGTTTGTATGAAATACCTTAAGTATGAACACCTCTTCAATTCTAGATATTTTTGTTAAAGAAATATTTAGAGATATAGCCAAATATTTAGGCTTATGCATATTTTTTGTTTTGTTTTTTGGGGTAGATTCTGGAGATTGAACCAAGGACCTTGGCACTGAACCAAAACCCCAGACATTTTATTTATTTATTTATTTTCAAATTTTGAGCAGGGTCATGTTAGGAGGCTAGTTGCCTGTGCTGGGCTTTAATTTGCAATCTTCCTGCCTGAGCTTCCCAGAGTGCTGGAATTATAGATGTGTGCTACAATGCCTGACTGGGCTCATGTATTTTGATAAAATGTTATATATATATAACTGGGAAAATTAAAAACCTCAATGTCAGTAGATAGTGAAAATATAACGGAATTTAAAGTGTCTGAGTAAATTTTCACTAAAATTAATCATGAGAAAATGCTCATAAAATAGTACAGTTTATTCTGTATGATTCTAACATTGTAAAACATACAGCAAAGAAACCCAGGGACTGGGGATGTAGCTCAGTGGTAGAGCACTTGCCCAGTATGCATGAGGCCCTGGTGGGCTGTATCGCCCAGTACTAAAGGAAGCGATGCGTACGCACAGGTGCGCACGCGCAGACACACACACACACACACACACTCTCTCTCTCTCTCTCTCTCTCTATACATAGAAAAAACACCCAGGAAAAAGGAGAGACCCGCAAAATGTTACATGTTGAAATTATGGGTAATGATTTTTCCTTCTGTATTTAAGCTTTTCCATCATGAGCAAATATTTATTTTATACCTGAAAAATATTTCTGGGGTTATTTATTTGTATTTATTTTTCACGGCACGGGCGTTGAACCCAGTGGCCCATGCGTACTAGACCAGTGCTTCACCACTGAGCCCCTTCCCCAACCCTGGGAGAATGAACTTCAGTTTGCTGCAGGCCTCACTTTGGAAGCGCCTTCATCTTGGAGGCTCGCCCTGATCACCTGTGTTGCTCATCCAGCTCTGGGGCACTGCACCTGCCTGGACTATGAGCCTCGAGCCTCTTGTGACACCACGGAATCCCCCGCCGTGTGGACACTGTACCTGTACTGTGGTGCCAAGCATCAGCCTCTTTTTCCCCTTTTCTCCAATGCCCCCTGGAGACTTTTTATTTTTTCAGTGCTCAGGCTCTAGCTAAGGCCTCACACATGCTAAGCATGAGCCCCACCATAGAGCTGCACCCCAGCTAATAAATACCTTTGAATGAATAAAAACCCTGTATGGTAGATGTATAAGCTAAACACTCCTGAGGACCTATTCTTGGCCTTTATTCGCAAAGAGCAACAACTCTTTTCAGGTACCAGGAATCGAACTCAGGACCTTGTGCTTACCAGGCAGGTGCTGCTTGAGCTGAGCTAACTCCCCAGCTATCAGGTTAATATTGTCCTGTGGTTGTTGTGAGCTGATCGGGTCCACAGTCTCCCAAAGGAGCTTAAATAAATAAAGCAAGTGATGTGATTTTAGGGCTCCAGCAGGTTTGAAACCCTCTTAACAGAATTTGTGATTTCCAGGGGCTATGACCAAGAACTTGTCTAGGCATATAAGTTATCATACAAAGGAGGAGAAGGGGCTGAGGAGACAGCTCAGTAGAATAAGCGCTTGCCTAGGAAGTACAAGGTTCTAAGTTCAATCCCCAGTACCGAAAAAAAAAAAAAAAAAAAGGAGAATGCTGAAAAAAAATGCAGGAACCTGGGCAGGACTGTGGGAACCCCTTTAAGGACTTCTCTAAGTAATACATTATGTTAATTAGGAGAACTGTGTTCTGTCTAGGAAGGCTTTTACTGCAAGAGTGAGATGCCTGCAGTTACAGTCCTTCTCTGCTAATTGAGTTGGGGCCAGGTGTCCTTAGCTATGGCCTTGTCTTGTCCTTTGAGGTGCACGGCTTCACCTGCCATTCCATGTTGCCACCTCCAGACAAGGGGCTGAGGCTTGGGCAGACTCACACATAAATGTGAAAAGCCAACTGATTAATATAAATCCAGCTCAGAGCCACTTGGTCGAGGTCTCCATCACCCAGCCCCCTTGACTCTTAGGGTGCCACAATGCACAGAATGCTTCCTATCTTTAACATATGGTTTAACATTGTGGTGTATGTTCCTGTTGTATAATCACTATCCAGCATCTTCCATACGTGCAGCTTGTGGATTGAATTTCATTTTGGAAGTCACAGGGCAACTGGGTTAGGAGTATGGCTCAGTGGCAGAGTGCTTGCCTAACATGTGCGGGGCCCTGGGTCCCATTCCCAGCACTGGAAAGCAGAGTGAGGTCTAGAGGAGATACCCTGTGAATGTATGCTTTCAACAAGTTGAGAAAAGGGGGGAATTGAGGGAGAAGGGGATTTTGGACTGCCACCATCCTAGCTATTGCTGCACAGTCTGAGTTGGGTGAAAGCCCACTCTGTATGTGAAGGTGCCAGTGAGTGCTTCTTAGCTGGTACTGCGATCATCAAGCTTCTGTCCACAGCCAGGGTGGGGAGTGGGGTTGTTCCTCCTCCACTGAGTCCTGCCTCCTTGGTAGGAGCTTTGCTTCCTGTTGGGCTGAGGCTTCTGTCCTGACGTTGAACAGTGAATGTTGATTTTGCCCTCAACTTATCTGCTTCTTGGAGCATATAGCCTTTTAGCCTTCTGTAGTCAGCGAAACTGTTGGACCCATGGGACAATAAAGCTTAATGTCTCAGAGTTCTGTGGGCAAAATTATCTTGCCATTTCTCTTAGATCTTGCCCCTTTAAACTTGTAAATCTCCTGAACCTCCGACTACCCGAGAAGTCACTCTTTATTCCTTCCTAGGGACTTGGTACGGCATGTTACTTCTTACTTAATCCTTATCTTGTGTTCCCTCATGGTTCAGGCCTCTTCAGCTTGCAGTTGGATTCTTGTCGTACCAGATTTAAAATGCCAGATAAAAGCAACAATTCAGAGCACCACCCTTAGCCAGAGCGGGGGGCACTTGGCTCTGGGAAGGTCTCCGTGTGCCTAGATGACTGCCAGTTAGGGCTGTGGCCTGGTGGCACGTGGCTTTGATTGTGCATAGTCTGGGAATATAAAATGACTTCTTCAAGTCAGATCCCTGAGTGGCCACTGTGTTAGCTTAATCGCCAGAGCAAATGTAGTGTGAGCAGATTGCATGGTAAATACTTAAATTAAAAAAAAAAATTATTATGTTAAAGACACATTGGCGTTAATCCCCCTCAAAGCCTTCCCCTTTCCTTCAAGCACACTTAATCCATTGCTCTTGCTTCTTTCTGAAACAGTTCTAGAAGTCCTCTTTTGTGAGTATGTGGCCAAAATACAGTGAATGCTGCTTCCACACGTCATCCCCCCGAAAGCAGGCTTGTAAGACACGTTACAGAGTGTCTTCATCCACCCTATTCACCAGATTTAGCAATTTCTGGCTCTTCTACAAAGTCAGAGTAACCATGCAAGAGAGACATTTTGAATTGGGTCAGGACATCGAAACAGCCCCAACAGTACAACTAAAGACTCTTGTGAAAGAGGACTTCCAAACTGCTGCAGAAAGTAGCCAGTACAATGGGGAAGTATGTGTGCCACATTTGGGGACGGGGGAGACGTTTTGAGGAAGATTATGGCAATGTGCCTTTTCCTGTATTAAGTTTTTTTAAAATGTATGTCTACATTGTGATTTTGATCATAACATAGTTTAGGCGGCAGCAGACTGGCACGAATAGTGCCCTGTTGCGTTGGTAGGGGAATGCTGTCTTGTGCCAGCTCTGTTCTGGTTTAGGGCTTGTCTCTGTCTCAGTAGTGACACCAGTTGTATGTGCTCCTAGTGTGCATAAGGAGTGGTGTGTGCTCTCTACAGGTGTGCCCCACAACTACCTGATTATATTTTTTCCTTTTTTTTTTTTGTAGTGCTAGGGGTTAGATTCCAGGCCTCATGTACACTTTACTGGGCTATACCTCCAACTCAGATTGTAGTTCTTGAAACCCTATAGCCAGAGTTAAGTGCAGAGCTCTTCAATCTGTCAGCAGCCTATGTTCTTTCTCCCCACCGCCCTTTGTAGTGGTGTGCACTGAACCCATGGCTTCACATAGGCTAGGCAAGTGCCCTACCACTGCACTCCGTGCCTGGGCCTGGCTTTGCATTCTGTAGGTGCTTACGTATGTGAACCCATTCCTCACTGTGCATGCAGTCATTATGTACTGCACATGTGTACCAATAAAAAAAAATGGGGAAACCAACTGAATTGTACATAAAAAAGGGACTATAAAGCAAAAACGTAAATAAATAAAGGAGACTATTGTGGCTGTTCACAGAAATGTTATCAATCGATTTATTTTCACCCTGCCTTAGAAGTGCATTTCCAAAGGACTCGGGCCACTAATATTTTCTTCTTATGTGTTCCTTTCAGATATTTGACCTCCATGAAGATTTCTTAATAACTTTTCTTCTCCTCCCCACAGAAATACAGCCCCTCAGATCCTGCCTTTGCCTATGCCCAGCTGACTCACGAGGAGCTGATTCAGCTGGTCCTCAAACAGAAGGAGACCATCAGCAAGAAAGAGTTTCAAGTACGTGAGCTGGAGGACTACATTGACAACCTGCTCGTCAGGGTCATGGAAGAGACCCCCAACATCCTCCGCATCCCAGCTCAGGTTGGCAAAAAAGCAGGCAAGATGTGAAGAGAATACTGGACTGGCTGTGGGACGTTTTGCATCTGCTCTTGAGGTCAAGGACTTGTGCCTGACACCCAGCCAATAGGCTCCAAATCACCATCTCTGCTGTGTCTTATCTGTCAGGACTTAATTCTACCAGTCAAAGCCAGGTTAATTATTACAGTGAATCTTCTGCTGTACATTCTTAGGGTTTTATTTTTAAATGCCACTGTGCCTTTAACTAGGTTGTAAATATTTTATGTCCACCGGAGACATGGTCATAAGATCTGCTCTTGAGCCAGAGAGTCAGATGGCACAGATATACTAATGCATCTGAACTCAGGGGCTGTTTCTTTGGTACGGGATTTTTCAAGCAGGTATCCACCAGTCATTACAATATATGGTAATAGACCATGTAGTTGGTGCTGTGATACACAAACTTCTCTGGCCTTTGAGTGGCTCAGGTGTTTTGGTTGCTGTAGCTGCTGAATTTTTATACCATCTAAACTTACTAGGCTTCTCAGGCCTGGTTCTTTTGTCTTTATTTTTTGACTAGCACAAAGACATTTAGGGAGAGCCTCTGAGTGTGCCTCTTAAAGTTTAAACAAACTTACTTTTTGTTAGCATTAAAATGTGCTCTTTCTAGGGGCCAGGGAGATAGCTCAGTGGAGTAAGTGCTTACCTGGCAAGCACAAGGTCCTGAGTTCGATCCCTGGTACCACAAAAAAATAAAAAATAAAATAAAATGTGCTTTCTCGAGACCTGCAGAACTGTTCTGAAGGCACACAAAGTAGTCTGTGGGTTAGAGAGTTGTTTCACTTGGCTGAGGAAACCTTGTTAAGAGTCCCCCTTTCATGACAGCAGGGTCTCTGCTGGCTAGACCAGCCTTGTCAGTGCCTTGATAAGGACCTAAGTGATCCAAGCTCTCACAGTGCTAGGAGACCCAAGATAGCTTTGATAGGCTACCTGTGGCCCTTTCTACCTGTGCCTTGCCCTGGCCTTTCTAGAGGGGGTGAAGGCCCAGCTCTCGGAGATGGAGAAATCTAGGCTGAGGGTGCAGCTTTTGTGATGCCCAAGGTTAGATCCCCAGTACTGCAAAACAAAACTAAAACAAACCAAAAAAAAAAAAAAAAAAAAAGACCCTTTAGTTTTGTAGGCCAAGAGGAACCACAGACTTGGGTCCTCAGGGGCCTTGCATAATTTGTCCTCTGAATACTGCCTGTCACTGCCTCAGAGAAAACCCAGGTTGTTTGTGGGATGCTGGAAAAGGTGTAGTGAAGCCTTCAATGTAGTTAATAAAATTTAGGATTCAGTAAACCACAGAAATGCGTCAGCTTTTCAGCCACTGCTTCATGAACAGACTCAAGCATTCCACCGGCCCCCCCAACCCCCAAGCCCCAGCAGGGCAGGAGATGTGTGTAGCCCCACAGCAGAGCGCCCCCTATGTGTGGGAGGCGCAGGCTCAGCCCCCTATGCCACAACCCTGTGAAGTTGTGATGAGCAAGAAGATGATCCTTATTTTTGGCTTTCTGTTGCTTAAAAATTAGCCAAAACATGTATTTTTTTAAGCTGAAATACCTGCTGGCTTCTTGATAGCACCACTTCATTTTCCAGGGAATTCCTCTGTTGGTTGGCTTGTACTGCTGCTCATTTCTTACCCTGGCCTCTCTCCAAGGGGACAAAGGAGCCCAGGCCCATAATGTGGCTAGGGTTTGAGATGGTGGCAGTTATTAATCCAGAACCCTTGCTCTGTGTGTCCTTGTTATATTGAAGGTAAAAAGCAAAACAGTGGGCAGTGGAATCTCTTGTCAGGATTGAGTTTACCACAGCCTTGTCTGTATGGAGCACTTTAGTCTGAAGGGCAACCCTGTAACTTATCTGATTAGCTCTTAAGGACCCACAGCTATTTTATTTAATTCTCTCCTGAAGTAATGACCACTGTAAACTTCTCAGATGACTTGTATTTTTTGTAGTGTTGCAAGACTTATTGACATGCCTCTGAAGAAAGCTATGCATCCACTTGAACTCTGAAATTGATATGTATATATTTGTTCTGAATCCTATTTTTTACTTGATAAAAGTGTATTTGTACTGTGATAACCCAAGTGTGCGCTGGGGCAGGTGTGCTGTGAGTGGCTTCTCTTGTTCAGAAGAGCTGGCGGGGGCCTTGGAGCATTGTTGCCAAGGCTTCTGGAGCTTCCTGCTGCCAAGACCTGGGATGTGGAGCTCTGGGCGCTAGAGCGGGGGGTTGGGGTGAAGAGCAACTTCTGGTGCTCCAAAATGTCACTTGGGAACTCTAGAACATGAAGGACACTTTACTTCAGGGGTGTCTGGCTTCTGCCACTACTGGGAAAAAATTCAGTTTATAGCATTCCTGTACCTTGCAAAGTAGATAATCTAGAGGTCACTGAGTTGGGGATGCCCTTGACAACCGCATGTAGGGGTGGGGCATGGACTTGTTCCAGGCTTCTGCCTGCTGTGAGCATGCGCAGCAGAGCTCTGGAGCACCTGTGGCTGCTCCCTGCCTGAGGATGTCATCCACCGCTACCTGGCTCTGCCACAGGCACTCACCCAGCTGACAGTCAGCGGCAGGCTCTGGAAGAAGCTCTTTCTTGGCCTTCCTGTTGCCTCCAGAGAGAGCAGCCAGGACTTGGGAGAACCATCAGATTAAATGCCAGTGAACTGCAGCTGGAGGTCAGATTCATGAAAAGTGTCAGTCTTCCTCTGATTGTTTCCAATCATCTCATTCCTTATGCTTTGCCAGATGTCCCCTCCCCCCCTTTATGCACTGTGTCAACTGCATTGAGGTAGCAGAAGTGAAGAGAAAACAGCTTTACCCTTGCCAGTCAGCAGGGACCCTGAGGTGGGGCTGTGCACATGCGCACGACGTAGCCGTGCTTCCCAGTTGTGCTACCTGGGGGGATTCAGCAGCTCTGACATTTGACACACAGTGTACTGAAGGCCAGAGGCCTGCCACTGTGTCCCTCCCGGAGTTTCTTTCCCCATTTAACCTTTTTTCTTTTCTTTTTTGAGCTGGGGATCAAATGTAGGGCCTCTCTTCATGCTGTACCTACTCCCCTGCCCCAGTCTTCTACCTTTTTCAAGAAGTACTACCTATCCCTCAAAGCTGAAAAATGAATTGCTTTAGATGGGGAACTTAACCTTGATGTCCACACACCAACCTCAGCTTTGGCTTCTCTGTATCCACTATGTGAGTTGCTAAATTGGCTTTCTCCTCCCTGCAATGGAAGGCATTTTTGTATTATAAAATTACTATTTTCTGCTTTGTAACTTGGGGAATTTTGAATTTCTTTGGTTTTGTTTTTAAGAAGTAACCTAAAATGTTCTATAACACTAAATAAAATGGTACTACCTTCCAAAGATGTGTGTGTGCTTCAGTGTGGGTGTGGAAAGTGTCTCTGTCTCCCTGGGAGGCCTGTCTTGGGGTGGTATGTGTGTGACTGGTTTCTCATCCTATGAGGCTCTTAGTCTTGAACTCCTGCTGCTGCCACCTGCTCTGGAGGCCTTTTTTCCCTCAGAGGACAGGCATCTCTTCATCCCTTTCCTGTGACATGGGCCTCATGTCATTCAGAGGGGCCATGGCACTTAGCAGATGGCATATGAGCTGTAAACCTCACCTTCTCATTCTCAGCTGGTGCCATTGGCCAAGCCTTTGGATACAGATTCCTCTCTGATTTCCCAAAGAATGTAGTCTGCACTTCAGGGCACAGATTTAGTTGATACAGAGTTCAGAAGCAGGTCCTGGGGCTGGGTAGCTGATTCACTTCTGCAAGGGCAGGACAGGGAATCTTCTGTGCTCCTTTCTCCAAAGGGTCAAGTCTGTCTGATGAGGGAAACATATCTGGCATCACAGGTGTGGTGTGTGGCTCACTGACCTCACTCCAAAACGCTGGCCCCTGGAAGTGGAGCAAACGCTGCACCTCTTGTAGAGACTACCTCAGCAAGCCTCCCTAGATTTAGTAGAGGACCTGGTTACCACAACTGGACATTGATAGTGGGACCCCAAGTCAAGGGGTCCAAAACAGCTCTTCTCTCTCTGCTGGAGTTGGAATCCATGGCTTCATGCATGGTAGACAAGCACTGTACTGCTGAGCTACACCTCCACCCCCAAACAGCTTCTGTTAAAACTCAAAGTCCTAAGTTTGGTTTGACAAAAAGACTTCTAGAAGAAGAATCCCCAGGGAAGGAAATTTAATTTCCACAATTGACTTAGCTCTCTTGAGATTCATTCTCTTGCTTTCAGAGTTCTCCCAGCCTGGTTCCTGCTGCTGCCACCAGCGCAGCCGTTAGGGGCAGCCTGTTGTAATTTCAAACCCCAATACAAGGAAGGACTGAAGTCACTTTTTTTTTTCTTTCTAGAATTGGGAACTGAACTCAGGCCCTTGCACTTGCCAGGCAAGCACTTATTCTACTGAGCCATCTCCCCAGTCCCTTGAAGTTACTTTTATTTTGAGTCCCCTTAGCCCAGTTGCTAATGACAGAAAGGTTTTGAAAAAAATCAAGAAAGTAAGGGAAATTATTATAGGGTATTTGAACAACGTAAGGGGAAACTTACCACCAGCATTCTGAGCTGAAGGCAGTCAAGCTCCCTAGGCCCAGAGGGTCAGCAAGCACCAGTCCATCCTGTCCAGGTGGCTTCAAGTTCTTAGCTGATCTGAAGGCCCCTTGTGGTCTGTTCTGGAAAAGCAGTAGACACTGTTCATCCCTCTCCGTGCTCCTGTCCACTTGCTTGGTCTACAGATATTTCTAGGTAACATGACATGTTTGTTCTTCAACAAGAGAATGAGAAGCCATTACCTCCCTGCTAACAAGAATTAACCGCTATTACTTTGACTTGTCCTAGGACTTTTCCCTTCTCAATCAGATAGGTGGACTATAAAAGGAAAGAGATTACTATCTGGATCTGAAATGTTCCCCAAAGGCCCATATGTTGAAGTCCTGTGACACTGTAGGAAGATGGTGCAACCTCCTGGAGGTGGGGCTTTGTGGGACATTATGTCACTGAGGTGTGGCCTTGAAGCAGGTATTGGCTTCCTGGCCACCAGGAGAAGAGCAGCTCTTCTCAACCACACACTGCAGCCACAGTGTGCTGCCTTTCCATAGGCCACTAACAATGGAAGGAACCCACAACTGTGGACTGAAACTTCTGAAACCATGATCCAAAGTAACTTTCTTTTTTTGAAGTTTGGTTATGTCAGGTTTTTGAGCAATGGAACAATCACAGTACATCTTTTGAACATACCTCCATGTTGATGAACTGTCTGCAATGATCTGTACTCTGCAACAATCACTGACAGTGACTGTATCCCAGCTGACAAGCCCTTACCATACAAAGTGCTGAGGTAGCTGCAAAGGTGAACTAGGTCTTTTGGCTGGGGTCATAATGGCAGCCACCTCTGGGACAGAGTGAAGACTTGTTTGGTGAGGACACTCAGCTCTGCCCTACCCACAGACAGCAGTTGTGTATAGGGGATTGTTCGCATCGTCCACTAAGTTAAAGAGCCTGCAGCAGCCTGCCCTAACCCTCTAGCCTAGTATCTGAGCACACTGATACTGTGCCCAGCGCTTCTCAATTGTGTATTTTACGCCCCAGTCTTTCCTGCTAGGCCAGCACAAGGTCTCTGACTAAAATATGGCTCTGGGTCAGTGGGGGCATTGTCTGCCAAGGCCAAACACTTGAGGGTGAGTGCCCTCTCAGCCTTTCAACTTTCCATTTATTTCACAAAGAAACATGTGCCCTGAGCCCTGGAAAGAATTCCCTTGGTGACATAGATGTAGCTCTCACAGAGTTGAGGAAAGGCTGGTTCTGTCCCTGCAAAGCAAATGCACACTTCAGGCTAAATCCTGACTGCAAAAGGAAGGCCAGTGTCTTGAGATCGTAGGGCTAAGCACTAATATACTACTAATTCTTGCCAGCTTAGAGAAATGTCTCCATTATGCAGATGAGGAGACTGAGACTCAGCAAGACCTCAGAACTTGAGTTTGGGGCTGGAGAGATGGCTCAGTGGTCTAAAGCACCTACTTGGAACAAGCTTGGCAAAGCACAGGGACCGCGGTTTTCAATCCCCCAGCACCACATGCCAGCCAGCCCCGCCCCCTGGTGGGCTGAGCTGGCCACACACACACACACACACACACACACACACACACAATAAATGTTAAAAAAAAAAAAAAAAGAACTTGAGTTTGCTTAAAGTCACACCTGAATAGCTAATAAGGATTTATCCTGCACCTTTAGTCCTGGCTACTTGGAAGGCTGAGGCAGGAGAATCATTTAGTTCAAGGCCATCCTAGGCAACACGATGAGACCCCATCTCTTAAAAAAGAAAAAAATCCAGATGTGGTGGTATGTGCCCATAATCTTAGATATTCAGGATGCTGAGGCAAGAGAACTGCAAATTTGATGCCAGTCTGGGCAATTTAGGGAGACTCTAAAATAAAAGAGGACTAGGGGCATAGGCTAGTACCCTGGGTTTGATCCCCAGTCCTGAAAAAATAAAAGCCAATGTTGTGCCTCAGTGTTACAGCCCTTGCCTAGCATGCATGAGGCCCCGAGTTCAGTCCCTGGCACCCCATGGGCAACGGAAAAGGAGCGGAATGAGGCAAGAAGAAACAAAATGGATCTTCCAATTTGCCTATCCTTGAGGTCTAGGGCAGTGGTGGCAAACCTATGGCACATGTGTGTCTCGGTTACTTAGCTCTCGTTGCTGGGACGCAATACCTCATACCCAAAATTAAAGGAAGAAAGGTTTATTTAGCTCACAGTTAATGCAGGTTTTGGTTCATACTTGGCTGGCTCAAAGGCAAAGTCGCACAAGGCAGAGGGCAGCAGTTCATGGAGGCAGAAACAGCAAAGTGAAAAAGCTGAAAGGGAGGAGCAGTGGCTGTGGCAGCCAGCAAGCCTCTTTCCTTTCTTATATTGAATGCAGATTATCTACCCCACAGCAAGTGTAGCATTCACACCCATAATCCCCCCGCACTGGATCGTGAAGTAATCACAAACTCTACAAGCCGCCCCAATGATTGCATGAGGCTTTGGGGGAACAACTAGACACAAACCATAACAATGTGCCATGATGGGCTGTTTGTATCGCTGAAAGTTTTAAAAGGTTCACCATCACTGATCTAGACAGTGGTCAGCAAACCATGTCCTGTCTCCTGTCTTCACAGTGTTCAACTCAAGTGATTTTTACATTTTTTAATGATTAAAAAAATTAATATCCAAGTATTTCAACACACCTGAGAATTACATGAAACTCAAATTCTAATGTCCTTCTCTAGACCAAGACTTACTGGAACTTGCCTGGGCTCTTTGTGTCACTACCTGTACCTGTTTTCACGTTATAAGCATAGAGATGAATAGCAGACGCAACCCTTGTGTGCTGGTGATACAGGAATTGCTATGAAGACCTCCAAATATGATATGGGGGAAATATTATAGCTCTCAATCTGTTAGATGCCTGATACTCTGCATCCCTGTTCTCTGAAATCGAAGAACGAATTCTAGGAACAATGGAGGTTAAGAGCAGGAAATATTTATGGAGAGATAGAAAGCTCCTGCCTGAGAGGGACAGGAAGGGACACCTAGAAAGTGGGTTGCCCCCAACCCCACTTCGCAGGAGAAGTTTTACGGAGCTCAGCCACATGTGTATAATGTGGGTTACAGCTAAGACCAACCAATAAGAATTGTCACCAAGCAATATAGATACAGTAGGGAAGCAAGCCATGTATAGAGCAGGCATGGAAAAAGAAAGGTCTGAGGTAGGTGATAGTTCAGGGGTCTTGGCTGCCTACTGAGGCGACTGATGACTAGCTAGATTTTGTTAGATCTAGTGTTACACTTATTTGGGGGGAATATATAGATCTGGCCCTTTTCTTGTTATTTTGAGGCCTGGCCTACAACTGAACTTCTCTCTTCAGGGAAGTTGGGGCTTGTCTGACTTACAGGAAGTCCGATGGGGGAACTGAGTGACATGGACTCCACCTTTCTTGCCTGTTCCAAAGTCTGCATGTTATTACACTAAAGGGAGAGGCTGGATCCTCCAGCCCCACAAAGCCCTGTGGCAATAGGGGATCTTCTCTAATAAGTAATGATTCTCACACCCTGAGAGAGAGTCTCTTGGGGATGGAGTGGGACATCCTTAGCTCTGGATATCAAGCATAGAAACTGGAAAATAAGGGATGCTTCATAAAGATATTTTTGTTCATTTTTTTTCACATTTTCCTAGGGATCTGTGAAGATAGTCCTGTGAAATTTTGCTTAAATATGGGTGGCAGCCTTATGTAATAGTTGTGAACCACAGGGCTTCTGCCAGTTTTTTTTTTTTTTTTTTTCAGTATCAAGGATTGACCCCTGAGGTTTTGCACTGAGCTACACCCTCTACCCTTCTTCAGATTTTATTTTGAGTCAATGTCTCAAGTCACTAAATTGCCCAGGCTGGGCTAGAACTTGCTATAATCTGTCTGAGCCTTCGGAGTGCTGGTGTGCACCACCACACTTGGCTAAAGCTCAGGAGTTAACCACATCCGAATCTGTTTGCATCCTGCAGCTTGCCAACAGCCTCATCACTCCACATTATTCACCCAACGTCTGTTAACACATTTCTTGCCAGATCTCTAAAACCATCTGATGTTACCATTCCGGATTTGAACTCAATTCCTTTATTTTATTATGTTTTAAAATGTATTTTTAGTACAGGGTCTATAGGGTCTCACTACACAGATTGGACCCTTGGTCATCCTCCTGTTTTCAGCCTCCCAAGTGTGGGGATTATAGGCGTGAGCCACCCTGCCCAGTCTCAGCTGTCTCAGCGCACCCCGGAGGTGGGGCCGACACCGCAGGCCAGGAGGCCCGCCTGCCTTATTTTATAGTCAAGGAAAAAGAAAAAAAAAAAACTTTGAAGAGATAAAGCAACTTGTTAGGGGAAGCAGCTCTTGAAAACAACATATGTTTCTCACTGTCTGGATACCCTACTCTTTTAGGGACAAATTTTTTACCATGGCCCAAATCAACATTCATTACCAAAGAGAAAGGCAAAATGCCTTGTCAAGAAGGTAGGGTTGGATTTTGTGGCGAAAGCCTGTAATCCCATAAGTCTGGGAGGCTGAGGCAAGAGAATTAATTCCAAGGTCAGGCCCAGCCTGTGGTTGTAGCTAGCCGAGTAAGAGGGGCTGAGTTCAATATCCAATACTGAAAACAAAACAGAAGGGGCAGAAGAAAGAGGGAAGGAAGGAAGGGAGTGAGGGAGAGAAGGGAAAGAAAGAAAAAGAAAGGGTTTATTTACTTATTTATTTTGTATTTAGTACTGGATCTACGATCTCACTACACAGATTGGACTCTTAGCGAACCTCCTGTTTTCAGCCTCCCGAATGCTGGGATTACAGGCGAGCACCACCACACCCAATCTCAATCGCCATTTTACTGCGCCCCTGGGCGGGGGGCGGGGCCGGCACGGCAGGCCCCGGGGAGCCCCCGGCCGCTGGTGTGCCTAAGCAGGCGCTATTTAGCCGGCCCCGAAAGGGGTTATTCAGATATAGCAACAGTTTCAATCTGTAGCCCGTAAAAGGAAAGTTAATCCAGATTTAACGCGCCAGTTTTGGCCCACTTCAAACTACACAGAGCAAAGAACCTAAGACGCAGTTCGGGCCAGGAACCTTGCTTTCCAGCTCATGTTTCCATCCGAGTGCACGGAACAGAAGACCGGAAGTTGTGAAGCTACGGGGCGGGGCGAGCCACTGTTCGTTTATTCAAACTGGCCACAAGGCAAAGGTGCACCCCTTATAAGGGTCCCCCTGGAGTTCCTGGTGCGCGCCGCAGCTGTGGAAGCCGGGCCGGCGCGCCACAGTGGCTGTGGCGTAGGATGCCGGGCCCAGCGCGCTGCCCCGAGTGCGGCTCCGCCGGGCTCGTGGAAGACTCGCACTATTCGCAGAGCCAGCTGGTGTGCTCCGACTGCGGCTGTGTGGTCACCGAGGGGGTCCTCACCACTACCTTCAGTGAGGAGAGCAACCTCCGAGGTACTGTGCTCACCGGTGGGCCGGCTGACCCAGGATCCCCTTCTTAGCTCCCTCTTTCCTTGTCCTGCTCATACCTGGTTAGTGAACGAAATGCACAAGGCCAGGGGCTGCCGGGCTCCTGTTCTCTAGTGCGGCACCTGGAGTCCGTAGCGGCTATAAGAAATGCTGAATAAATGAAGGAGTGTGGTGGGTGTTGAAAGCTTGTGGGTAAACTATGAATACAGTGCGTATTATTATCCCAAAGGAAAACTGATTGACAAAACAACAAAAACTCTCTTTTCTCCCCAGGGCAGCTTAAAAAATCTGTAGCCAAGAAAATTACCTAGATTGAACGCTCAGGGAACAGGACTGAAACTTGGAAATGTTTGGAATTGCTTTAAGTTGTATGACTAACCTTCCTCAGTGTCTGTGTATTTGAACCCGCTGTGGAGATAAAAAACCGGACGGGTCTTTTCTTATGCTTGGGTGGGCACCGTCATCCAAGAACAGATGGGACAGAGAGCAGACAGGCAGTATTCAGAATTCTGCTCCCAGGCCTTGTGTGGTGTGGGAGGGCAGCATTCTAAGAAATAGGGGCTGACCGTTTTATTTCTCATTCTTTGTCTTACAGAAATAACATATTCTCGAAGCACTGGGGAAAATGAACAAGTTAGTCGCAGCCAACAACGAGGTGAGAATCATCCTTTTATGACACAGTGGCTTTGAGGAAAATTATCCTGATAGCTGAGCCTATCTGTGCTTTCTTATTTGAGGCAGTGCTAGTGTAAGGGAGAGTAGAAGAAACTAGCAATTAGAAACCAAAGTTCGTTATGATTCTGAGAGTGGAGGCCAGTCAGTGTGCGATTTGGGCTTGCACAGTGCTGTGTTTGAGAGGAGCCTGGGTAAAACTTTGGCACAGAGGTAGGATGGCACTAGGTTTGATTCCCAGCACTACAGCAAAACAAGACAAAGACTCACCCCCCAAAATCAGATGTTCTCCTATCAGTATAGACCAGGTACGTTATTTGTGCCTCTGGTATCTGTGATGTTTGGCAGAAGTAAATTTAAGTTGTAGCAGATCTTCCTAGGTTGTGTGCTATTTCCTGCAACCCGTCTATCTTTTGCTGTGGGTTTTCCTAGGTCTCCGCCGAGTGAGAGATCTCTGTCGAATTCTGCAGTTGCCTGCGACATTCGAGGAGACTGCAATCACCTACTACCAGCAGGCATACCGGCACTCTGGCATCCGTACAGCCAGGCTGCAGAAGAAGGAGGTGTTGGTTGGATGCTGTGTTTTAATCACCTGCCGGCAGCATAACTGGCCCCTAACCATGGGAACCATCTGTGCCCTGTTGTATGCAGACCTGGATATGTTTTCTGGCACCTACATGCAGATAGTGAAGCTCCTGGGGCTGGATGTGCCATCTCTGTGCATGGCTGACTTGGTGAAGACTTACTGTAGCAGGTACCTGTAGCAGGACACACACACACACACACACACACACACACACACACACACACCACACACCAGTTCCAGATGAATGACATGACACTGGGATGGGACAGGTCTGTGTATCTGGAACATTTTGCCTGACCAGAGCTCATTTAAAACAATGTAGGAGAAAAATCTATTCTCTGTATCTTAGGCTTGCTACCAGTAAGGTTAGTACTGGTGTACATTTCTATAATACTTTTCAAATCTCATTGCCTTCAACGGCCAGATAACTCTGCAGACTACAGTACCTGCTTAGGCAGACACAGAGGCCAGGGTTCTATCCCTGGTGTGCTGAGACAGCGATTAAGACTGGGCATGGTAGCGCACCTGTAATCCCAGTGCTTGGGAGGCTGAAAACAGGAGAATCACTATGAGTCTGATCTTCATAGTGAGACCCTGAACACCCTGTAGACCCTTTACCAGATACATTAAAAAAAAAAAAAAAAAAAAAAATCTCATTGCCTTTGTAACAACCTAACAGTTTAAGAAAAGTAGTTACTGGGCTTGGCATGGGCTGCTGAGCCATACTGAGTCACATGCTTTATGAAGGGCACTTCCTAGAGTTGCATGCATGCAACTGTGACCACCATGGAGTGGTCATAAGTGGAGCTGAAGGGATATTAGTTAAAGGCAGAACTGGGGTTAAAAGCTGAGCCTTTTGTTTTTTAAGTAGCTATGTTTTTGTTTGTTTGTTTGTTTCAAATAGTAGAAAACAAAAGGTAGGGGCTGGGGAGATAGTTCAGTGGTCGAAGTGCCTGCCTGGCAAGCACAAGGATGTAAGTTTCATCCCCCGTACTGTAATCCCAGCACTGGGGAGGCTGAGACAGGCGGCTGAGGATCATTATGAGTCTGAATTGCATAGCAAGATTATATATATATATATATATATATATATATATATATATATATGCAGTTCATACAAAACAAAGGCAGAGATAGGTTACAGAGAGAGGGGAGAGGGTTTAACATGAGTGAGAGCCTGGCTTTAATCCCTAGCACTAAAAGAAAAAGTAATTGCTGAACCTTCCTTCTAAGCTGGGGGACTAGGCATGAGTTTTCCAACTCTAAATGCATAAAACAGCATAGTTTTAAGTGAGAATATTGAAAATCACTGAAAATGGAGTCAAATGGGGAGGTGCTCAGCTGATGTTAGTGCATTGTTGGCTACTGCCCTTCCTTTGACCTGTAGAGCATGAGCGCTGTTTTCTTTCATGCCCTGTCTGAATTTGCTGCCCCCATGGGTTTGAGGGCAGAATAGCTTCCCATTTGGAGTGGACTGTCCTTTCATAGTCTAGGAGAACAGCCCCCACCATGGAGACTTGACTCTCACTTTCGATGTTTCAGTTTCAGACTCTTCCAAGCCTCTCCATCCATGCCAGCCAAATATGTGGAAGATAAAGATAAGATGCTGTCTCGAACCTTGCAGCTGGTGGAACTGGCCAGTGAGACGTGGCTGGTCACTGGGCGACATCCACTGCCGGTCATCACTGCAGCTGCTTTCCTGGCGTGGCAGTCCCTGCGGCCTTCGGATCGGCTGACTTGTTCCCTGGCCCGATTTTGTAAAATGGCAAAAGTGGATCTGCCTTACCCCGCTGCCTCCCGGCTGCAGGAGTTGGTGGCTGTTTTGCTGCGGATGGCGGAGCAGCTAGCCTGGCTACAGGTTCTGAAACTTAACAAGCGATCTGTGGTGAAGCACATTGGTGACCTGCTCCAGCACCGTCACATGTTGGTCCGCATGGCCTTTCATGATGGATTACCAGAAGGGGGGATCCAGGAGAACGAGCAGCAGAGGCAGCAACAAGGACAGCGAGAGGGGGAGGTAGGGGGTAGCATCTTAGATCTTCATCAGGGGAAGCGACCAGCTAGTCCTGCACTCCTCCTCCCACCCTGCATGCTGAAACCCCCAAAGCGGCGCTGCCCCACGCCCCCTGCCTCCACTGTCACTGGAGATGAGATCATTTCTGATAGTGAGATAGAGCAGTATCTGCGCACCCCTCAGGAAGTGAGGGACTTTCAGAGAGCCCAAGCTGCTAGCCAGACTGCTCTGTGTGCCCCCAACCCTTAATGCCTCTTCCGCACCTGGATGTCATTTCTTGTTTGAAGGAACCAAAAAGAGTGCTGAAGTTAGTTGGACTTTAGGTCCTAGGGAGGAGTTGGGAAGAGTATGTGTGAGGTTGTGGGTGGGGCCAGGGCCATCCCTTGGCTGCAGATGTCAGGTTGCAGACATTTGTGTTCTGTGGGCTGACTTGTTAAGACTTGGAGAAAGTGGCTGTGCATACCCCCTGCCCCGTTTGAACTGAACACACTGCTGTTGATTCTGCAGGCTTGTGGGGCTCTTCTTGCTGCTTGTGGCACCGGCATTTGCAGCTGCCCACAGAGACATAGCTAGAAAACTCTTGGCCTGTCAATTCTGGATCCTGGTGGGCACTTGCATGCTATATGTGCATGGTGTCATGTGGTCTACCTCATTAATAAAAGGACCTTGGGTGGACTACAGCTATAGCTCAAAGAGCTTTGCAAAATTTTAATATATTAAAACAAGAGACATCTGCTAGAAAACATTCTATTGTATAAAATCCGAGCTTTTAAATACATGTTTTCTTTGGCACTTTTCATTCCCTCCCTCCCTCTCCCCAGCATATTGCAAAAAGCTCTCCAGTGCTAAGGCATTGGCAGGGTATGTAAACAGCAGCCAGCGTATGTGGAAGAATAATACAAAGCTTTTTTTCCCCCCTAATATTGTCTGTGCAGCAAGCATAAATAACAGGATCTATCTCAAGGAGCAGAATTTTTTTCCCTCCCTGTGTCCTTTTTCACATGGTGAGTAGGCCAGGGTTACATCAAGACTGGGAGGGGACCTGGGCTAAGCCTGGGTCCCATTGCTTTTCGTAGGGTCCAGGGCCCCCTCCACTTGCATTTGGTCCTGCAGTAAGGCTGGTATTTTGTGTAGGGAAAGGTCTGGGTGCTGGTGTTTTAAAGTAGTGAAGGCACAGAATGCTGAGCTGCAGGGATCCTAGTCCCCGCCTCAGGGCTTGGCTTGGGTTTCTTCAGAGTCAGGAAGCTGTTTTGACATAATGGAGGTTTCTCCTGCTGTGGAGTTGGGGACTGAATTACTGGAGTGCTTCTGTATGGCCTCACAGAGGCAAGGAGGTGCTCTTCCTGTGTCCTTGCATAGAAGTGGAAACTGGGTTTTGTAACAACAGAAGTGCTTCTCCAAACACCATCTGCAGTGTTTGGGTGCAGCCATCTTCAGAGCACTGTTCGTGTATTCCTGCCCAAATCCAGGTGTGAGCACCGCCACTTTCCTCCAGGTAGTGGCCACCTGGCAGGGAGCTTTGCAGGTCAGCAGCCTAGGCTGCGTTCTGGGGTGGTGCTGGGGCCTGTGTGGATAACAATAATAGGAATAGTGTTGCTTCCGCGTGCATTTCCACTTGCCTTTCTCATGTAAAACTGGCTGATCTGCATAGCCCCCCTTCTCTGCCCGCTGTCCCCTCTTGCATAGTTCATCTTAAGAGCGGCACCAGTTAATACCACCCTGAGCCTGGCAGTGGCTCCTGTGCTAGATGGCTTAGAGAACCAAAGCCTGGGAAGCACAAGGTTCCCCCGACAGAGGCAGTCGGGAGTGCAGCCCAGGCTTCTGTCTTACTGGGGGCTGACAGCTGCCAGAGGCCCTGTGCTCAGGAAAATGGGGCTCTTTGGGTGGAGCCCACCCTGGCTGGACTGGCCCACTCTCAGACCCATGGGGCTTTCTGCCCACTTGGGAGATCTAGAGTTTGACCTTAAAACTGGCCTGAGCTGGACAGAAAAGTATCACGCGTGTTTTGGGGGTCTTTGCTGTCAAAGCAGGGTGGCCTTCCATGAAGCCATGAACAAATGCCTCTCATCGGCCTCTGGGGCGGGGGCGGGGCACCCTTGGCCCTGCTGACTGCTGGCAGCTCTCGGCGGCGGGCCGGGTCTGAGCTCACTGTAACAGCCCGCTGGCTTGGCTCGTCCTGAAGTGTGGCGGCTCGCCCTAGACGGTGGTCTCGCTCTTCCAGAGGCCAGTCTTCATGCAGCCGCTGCCTGCCGCCTCCACGCCCGCCGTGGAACTATCGTCGTACTTGCTGCCCTTGGGCGCGCCGTTCAGGCTGGCGCTGTTGAGTGGGTACGAGCGCCGCTTGTTCTCCTTCTCTGGCACGCAGCCGCCCTTGAGGTTGTCGCGGCTGATGCTGCGGCGCTGGCCGGGCCGCACAGCGTCAGGGGCCGGCGTGGCACTCGTGTCACTACCTTCGGACAGTGTGAGCGCGGCCTCACCCTCGGGCGGGTGGCTGTCGCTTGGGCTGCGGCGCAAGCTGCTGCTCTCGCTGGAGGGGGGCTCGAGCGCCCCCGTGGCCAGGCCTGTGCGCATGGCCCGCAGCCGGCTCCTGCCACCCGCCTCCCCCGCGCGGGGCGTCTTGGCCCGGCTCCGGTGCGCGCGGCGCCCATGGTGCACGTTGTTGGGGTGGCGTGGGGCCAGGCACGCTCGAGGACTCATGGCCTCTGGGTCCCCATCCCCGCGAGCCATCCCCACTTCGCACCCCTGACTCTGAGCTAGTTGCAGATTGGTGAGTTTGCAAGGCCCACTGCTGCTGCTCGGGGAGGACTGGAGGGATGCAGGCCCCTCAGCCACCACAAAGGGACCGTCCTCAATGGTGGTGGGCACTGCGCGGGTCGGGGTATGGGGAGCTGAAGGCGAAGCCAGGGGACAGCACGCTCGCCAGGAGGCCCTGACGTCCCGGCGCCTGGCACAGTGATGTGTGAAGATGAAGAGGCCCAGGGCGGAGGCTGCCACCCCGTAGAGACAGCTACACACCACCCGGGGCAGCCAGCGCTGGGACACGGCCAGGGCCCCGCAGGCCCACAAGGCCAGGTACAGGAAGTGCGTGGTCATCAGTGCCCCCAGCTGGACTCCTGGGGAATAGAGGCCGTCACCGTCCTCCTGGGAGCCTGGGGTTGCCACCCCTGTGCTCCCAGTTGCCAGCAGGGAACCTGAGTCACTCAAGAGGGCGCCGCTGTTCCTGAGCCTGGTGGAAGCCCTCAGTTCTTCTCCTGGCTCTAGGGAGATTCTGCTGCCTCCGCCCTTTGGGCTCTTTGCCAGAGGACCGTGTAAGTGCAGTCCTGCACACAGGAAGTAGATCCAGGTAACCAGCAGAATCAAAGCCACAGGGATGTAAAAGGCGCAGAGGCTGGGACGCCACACCAGCCAGCAGCTAGGGGAGACAGAGGCACAAGATGAGGAAGAAAACATCAGGTGGGCTGGGGGAGGTAGGATCTGGGGAGTGGAAAGGCAGTCCTGGCTTAGTCCCTTGCAGGGCGGGGGGTCAGGCTGCTGGCTGGGGAGGGAGGGGTGGGCAGTGTTGGGCAGCCATGCAGGTGGCAGTGACAGGCAGCAGGGAGAGGTGCTCACTAGGGACTGTGGTCCCGGTAGTTGTGGATGTTGACCGCAGCTGTGATGCCACAGATGATGAGTGGGATCCCTCCAGCAATCAAATAGAACCTGGAGGGGATGGGGTTTGGATGTCAGAGAGGGGGCCGGCAGGAAGAGCAGGAACCTCACTTGGTGTCTCTGCCTCATCTTCTGTTCCCTTTAAGTCTACCACAGATTGGTTGTTACTGTTTTGTTTTGGGATTTTTTGCTTGTTTTGTGCCAGGGATGTAAGGCCCCGATCAGGCAGGCCTGGGAGACAGGCCTTGGCCTTGGCCAAAACTTTGAGGGACAGAAGCCAGAACTGCTCTCTCAGAAATTGGGATAGCTAAGGGAGTGGGACGTCTGACTTCTGAATTGTAACCTTCCTTGTGGTAATGAGGAAAGAGTGGTGACCACCTGGCATGGAAGCTGCAGCAGGTTTACAAATGTAAACACACTTCTTATGTTGAGAAGTGTGCCACAGTGTTGAGAAGGGAGGCAAGTACAAGACAGGGTCGAATATCCATGGTCTCTTTGGGTGGAAGGCAGGTCAGGCTGTTGGAGCCTCTTACACAGATGCCAAAAAGAACAAAGGTATCACCTGGGGAGAGGATACATTGACAGAGTATTTGGAGAATCCCAAGAAGTACATCCCCGGAACAAAAATGACCTTTGCTGGCATCAAGAAGGGAGAAAGGGCAGACTTAGTAGCTTACCTCCAAAACCTTGCTAATAAGTAATAGTCACAGCCTAATTTATTACAGAACAGAAATGTCTCAAGGCTTTTTTGTATACCATAATTTAATAGATCTCATACACCAGAATTCAGATCATGAGTGGTTGACAGAATATTTTTGTTGGACAGTCCTGATTTAAGTAAAATTGGCTTATAGTTAAATGGAATCTTTTTTCTCAAGTTTTGATAATAATTCCAGTTCAGTAAATACTTTCACTGTTTTTCCCTTTCTAAATATATGGTTGGACTTGATTAGTAATGTTTAACTTCTCACCAAGATTGAGAATGTCATCTCAGAACTACTGAAGGTTGGTTTTATATTTAAATTCGTTATAACTTCTTGTGTGAATATGCTTAGATATGGGGAGAATCCTTCATTGTCTCAAAACCAAGCAATACCCCCCTGTTTCAATTTGTGTTTATTAGCCTGTTAAAGGGAGTGGTTGAAGATAAGAAAGCAACATCTACATTTTTGGTCTTGACTATGCCAATTTAATTAGGATCTCTGTATCTAAAAAATGTTGTCTTTTAATTACTGAAAGACACTTTAGTGTGGTGTATGTATAATACCAAATAACAAATATTTAACATTTCTCACATTTTATAGTTGATCTGTAAGTTCAGATCCTTTTAAAAGTTAGAATGAGTGCTGGAGAGATATAGCTCAGTGGCATAAGCACCTGTCTGGCAAGTGCAAAATCCTGAGTTTGATCCCCGGTACCAAAAATACATAAATAAAAACAAAAGTTAGAATGACATAATTACCAGTTGGACTTTGCTTTTAAATTTTTTAGGTCAGACTAAGTTATTATTCATGATAATATATAACAGTTATTTAAAAACACAAGATAAGGGGCTGGGAATATAGCTCAGTGGCACCTGCCTGGCAAGCACAAGGTCCTGAGTTCAATCCCTGGTACTGAAAAAAAAAAAAAAAAAACCCAAAAAACCCACAAAGAGTAAAACTACTATTGTATGTGTGGCTGGTAGCGGTGCCTCCTCTCAGCACACTAGAAGTACTAATGTGGGGAAGGTACAACCTGAGCACAACTTTGTATGTGACCATAATACTTAATTAAAAACAAATTAGATTTTGAAAAAGAAATTGGGGTGCCCCTCAGGCTCTCAGGTTCCCTGCCCAGTGTACCTACAGAGCCTGGGGCTGTGCTCACACTGCAGTCTATGTGGCTAGGTGCAGCGAAGGCTCTGCCTGGGCGTGGCACCTCCCTGCCTCCACCCTGGGTACTCAGCTACCCCTGCACAGCTGGCAGGTGACGTGCTTACCGGAGCATGGGCTGCGGAGCAGGTGGCAGAGGCTCACCTTCTTGTGGAGGAGGCCCCCTCCAGGTGAGCTCCTTGTGCAGGACTCGAGCCTTCACCCCCATCCAGAGCAGTGTGGACAGTGAAGAGTAGTGTAGAGTGACGCCCACCTGCAGTCGGGGCGCTGAGGCTGGGGCCGGGGCAGCTGGGCTACCCCAGGGCCCCACCTGCCACCTGCTGGGTCTACAGCCCCCTCCCTACACAGCTCTTCTGACCCAGCCCCTGGTGGCCAGATGCCACCCATGTGCTGTCCTTGCTGTTGTCCTCTCCACTCGCATCCAGAATGTGCTCCTGCCCCAAAGGTTCTTTGGAAGCTGCTGGGGTTGTGCAGCCAGTCCCTGACTTCTCTTTCCGCTCTGCACTCTGACACCCTTCCTACTTTCTCTGGCCTGGTTCCTACTACCCCTGCACCCTGTGCCCTGCAGACCCCATGTCACCCTCCAGGGCTGGCAAATAGAACAGTGAAGCTGCAGCCTGTTCCCAGGAACCTCTCTTTTCTTGCTCTGCACTTCCCTACTCTACACCTATACTGCCACTGCTCAGCTTGGGGCCCCCGGCGCCCGCGCGCTTACCGCCTGGCAGACCATCTGGTACTTGGTGAGCATAATGCCTCCTGCAAAGACGGCAGAGGTCATGGCCATGTGGAAACATAGGTTCAGCAGCATGTGCCACCCCTTCCGGGACACGTGGATGGAGCTTTCCCAGAGAAAATCTTCCATTAATGGGCTGCCCAGCCCAGGCTCAGGCCCATGGGGTCTTGAGGACACTCAGAGCGCCCAAAGGGAAAAGCAGATATCTGTGCATGTGCCCATGTGTATAGGTGTGTGCACATCACTGAGGCCTCAGGGCAGAGGTCTAAGACTCCCAGTGTGTGCTCCAGCCCCAGAACCCCCAATCCAGTGCTAGGCAGGACCTGCTGCAGGCCAGGTGGACCTGGTCAGTCCTGGCAGCCTTGGGTAAGCCTGACCGCCCTCCCGGCAGCACTCACCTGTGATTGAGGATGTAGGTAATGATGGTAGAGAAGAGGCAGAGCAGCAGAAGGGCTGTGCAAGGGTACACGACGGGGTGCAGCCCGGCCCCAGAGCCCCCGGGATCCTTGGGGAAAGCACTCAGCTCCTGGGAAGGAGAAAGGAAGGAATGAGACACATGCCAGTCCCCCAGGCCTGTTTCTTCTTCCCAGGTACTGCTGGCCACTCTTAGAGTGGGCTAGAGGACACGATGTAGGCCTCCCCTCAAGCATCCTGCCTCCCTGGAAACTTTCACATCCCCAGTCAAAATCCAGAAGGAGGGATCAGGTTCTGCCTGTGACACAGCTGCAGGCCTCTCAGTATCTGGGAAAGTAGGGGACAAATGTGGAAAGGTAGGGGACAAAAATGCTCCCAGACTGGTTATTCCCTTGCAGAATCTTGGTTTTGGGGAGTATAGCTGGGGGAGGGCAGACAAATGGTTTCAGGTCCAACTGTACACGTAAAGGGAGACACAGGACTGCTGCCTATGTCCTATGACGGAGAGGCCAGAGGCCACATCTTAGGAGCCCGCACAGTCAGTAGGCTCCTGCTTCTCTGTGGTTAGGGACCCCTGCACTCCTGCCCACGTGCCCGTTGCCCACCATGCCCCATAATACCCACCATGAGCACAGCCACACTGCCCAGGTGCTGGCAGTGCAGGGAGCTGACATTGGGCTGACTGGAGCGCAGCTGGCAGCCTTCTGAGCTCCAGCCCCCGGGCCCCTCCTGGGTCCACCAGGCTGCTATGGGGTCAGCCCCCTCAGCCCAGTGTCGCAGTGACACAGCCACTGGCTCGGTCAGGTTCCCCACGCCACAACCACCTATGGGGAGAGAGAAGTCTGGGTGGATGCACAGGCTATGGCAGAGGAGAAGCTGGACCAGGTACAGAGCAGGGCAGGTGAACAAGCAGCAGGTGACTGGCAGCTTGCATGATACCTGCAGGGTGGGGCACTGGGCGGGGCTCGGAGGAAGAAGTGGAGGCCAAGTACAAGCTGCATTCTAATTGGGGAGACTGGATAGGGTGAAAAGCAGAAATAAAGCAGTGCTAGCTGACTGTGAAGGTTCATGCCTGACAGGTAGCTGAGGCGGAAGATTCTAAGTTTGAGCCCAACCAGGGCAATATAGTAAGACCCTGTCTCAAAACAAAAAATTAGTAAGAGATGGCATGGCCTAGTATAGAGTGCCTCCGTAGATGTCCAAGGAGAGGGCTGATATGCTCCTCCAAAAAGAGGATTTGATGGACACTTGGGGACAGGGAGGAAGTAGCAAGTACGGAGGGAACAGAAGCCCAGGTGAAGGCAGGTGTCAGGAGGATACATCCAAGATGGGATAGCAGGGTACCATGGGAGGACAAGGAAGAGAGAAGCTCTGGGCAGAGCTGTGAGGGGACATGCGTGGCACATAGGTCACTTCCACCAGCTGCTGACACTGACGGCATCTTCCTTGGGGGACAAGATCCTTTTCAGGAAGCTTGGCTGTGAGGAAAGGCCTTCCTGGCCCCAGCAAGGCTGGGTTGTCCCTTGTAACTACACAAGCTGAATACCTGGGGCTACTACTCACTGCCAGCAACTGTTCCCTGCACAGACACAGCTCTCTGTGCAGGGATGCAGGTGTGCCAGCCCTGTGCAGCCTGGAGTATGAGGCTCAGGGAGCCTTTCCAGCCAGAGCAAGACAGGCAGGGGACCCCAGGTAGTGACAGCCACTCCTGGCTGGGAGAAGGGCACAGAGTCATCATGTAGGATGGCACCCAGAAGAAGACAGCTCTCTCTCTCGCTCTCCCCCCCATCTATCTACCTACCTACCCATCTAGCTGGTGGTATTGGTGAAAGAGTCTCCCTAAATCACCAAGTTGCTCAGGCTAAATTGCAGCCCTCCTGATTCAGACTTCCAGAATGCCAGAAGGCCACCAGGCAAGGTTAGAAGGCAGTGCTGAGGTTTGAGGGGCTCTGTGATGTGCTCTACCATGTTTTACATAAATCTGGCATTGGGGTATGCAATGAACTAAAGATGAAACCCAGCAGCCAGGGCCAGAGTGCAGAGAGGGCACAGGCAGGAAAAAGGCTCACACGAGCCGCTGGCGTGGTCCTGCCATGTGGAACTCCTCACTGGGAGCAGGGCTTCCAGGGCATCTCTTTGCTCCTGGTGCTAGGTCTAAGTGAAGCCATTTGTCTGGCACATTGTCCCCACCACCCTATCTTTGGTCATGTTGTCCCTCCCACCCTGGTCCCTGCACCCTTTATGCCTCTGGGATTCCTGGCCATGTGCAAGGCTTCCTGCTCAGCCCCACCTCTGGCCACAATGCAAGTAGCTTGTTCTCATTAAGAATGAATGAGGGCTGGAGAGATGGCTCAGTGGTCTAAAGCA